CATTCCTCCGGCTGCCGCTCTGAGCAATCCCACGTGGCCGGAGGAAAGGCCTGCGCTCCAAGCGGTTCCTTGTGTTTCTCTTGGACCTTTGTCAGTGCGGGAGAAGTTTCGAGCCCTAAGTCTTGGGGCCTGTTTCTCCTGCCTCCTCTGTTATCATTGTTGTTATTTTCAGGCTGGTGCCTGTTACTCTGGGGGGTAGATGGTGCCGCACGCAGGGGTTTGAAAACCCACCCTGTGCAGCGTCATGCACTGATAGAGGAGCCAAGGGAAAAAAATGTGTGGGTTTGCTGAGCTCAGCTGGGCAAGATTTATGGGGGAAACAAGGCACGAAATTCCCTCTGGCGGGAGCTGGCGGTGGGGAGCCGAGGGGCTGTCCGAATCCACAGCAAGGCATGGGCTTTCTTCCGTGCACGCACGGCTGGTGCTGCCGAGAGGGGGGATGCCCCGGTTTGGGGTTTGGGAAGGGGCTGTAAACCCGTTCGTGTAGCTGGCAGATGTGGCTGCAGGCGTGATGGCCTCAGCATTCCCTGCAGAAGTAAGCAAGCCACCAAGCTTGTTGGTCCGTGAGTCTGCATTGCAGGGAAGTGACGTGAAGGGAAAAGGGAGTCTGGCCGAAAGAGCAGTTTTAGGGGCCACCTCCACTGGTTGTGGAGAGGATGGCACATGAGCCACCGTGCAGAAGAGGATGAGCCACCCCTTGCACACCAGTGTCTTCCCAGATCCAGTCTGGGTTTGGGGGCTGAATCCAAACTCTGCAAGCACTTCCCTTCGCAGGGAGCTAGAGGATGGCTGGAAATGGAGCCAAGAGGTAATCCAGGCTGGGCTCGATCGGCGCGGTCAGCTCATTTGCACAGAGATCTGCACGGAGCTGGCGCGAGAGGGTGGAGGTGTGAGCCCACGGTGCCACATCTGCTCCCTGCAGCGGCTTTTGCAGCCTGCTGGCTCCGTTCAGAGGCTACAAGTGAGTGTGTCTGGGTGTCTGCAGGCTCTGGGACTACAGAAGTCAGTCTGGGATCTAAAATGACACCTGGGCACTCTCAGCTGGTGATACCATCCTTGTGTAATGAAATACCATGGGGAGGCTGCCTGGTTCACCCACCCTGCACCGGCCCAGCCCAGGATGAGCTTGCCCTATCTCTAACTACATTCCTGATTGTAACCAGATCCCCAAAATCCTTCCGGATGGAGAGAGAGCATGTAGCCCTGTGATGTGTTTGCAGTGCCCCTTCTGCAAGGGGCTCGTTCTCCTTAACGCTTGTGGCTCCAGATCCGCTGGTGCAAACGAGAGGGCGGGCAGGCAGTCTGGGTGAGCACAGGCTTTCCAAAAGGAAAGGACCTTTTCCCTTTGCTCCAGCACACCTGCCTGCGTGCTTCCAAAAAGCAGAGCCCTGTCTGCATCTGGGGGTGTAGCTGGTTTGGAGTCACAATAGGTTTTTGGGTTTGGATTGGGGTGGGGAGGTGATGGTGAAGAACCAGCCTGGCTGCAGGCAACCTAGGTTGGTGCCAGTGCTGGACTGAGTTAGTGGAACGGGCTTCAGTGCCCTGTGGCATTGGCTTTGTTGGGTTGTTCCCCTAAAAATAGTGTGCAGGTTTGGCTGGGGGTGGGAGGCTGGCTGGGGGATTTCTCTGGGCTGGATCCGCTTCCTTTGCAGCCTGCAATGTAGGGCTGACCCGGAGGAGTTTCTTGCTGTAGGAAGCAGTGGGAGCAGGCGCGCAGGCTAGGTTTGGGTTTGCGGCTTTGTTGGAGAAGGCTGATCCTCTGTGCTCCCCGTGAGTTGAGCCTCCACCCAGGAATCAGATTCCAGCATCTCTTCCCCTTGCACAGAGCCAATATCCTTTAGAGGC